CTAGGCTTCTAAGAAAACTACTAGTCACAATAAGTATTTGATTTTTGCATTGCTGTTAAGGTAGGAGGAATAAGCAACAAAGTACTTTGCAAATTCAAAGTTCTGCTTCTCTTTGTATAGTAGAATACACTGAACAAGAGTCTTGATTTCACCCTCTGCCAGAAACTCACCTAAATTTACCCAATTTTGTCTTTTAAATGATCTAGATTAATTCACTTTTGCATCTCTGTAGAGGATGGCTGATAGAGAAAAATTGAGGAAGGACATTTTTATCTTTACCATCAGCCTCAGAGAGTTTCATTCCATCGTGGCAGGCAGCTCAGTTCATGGCCACAAGAGCATGTAGAAGATGCAGTTTTCATCAGGATAGACCATGAAGCAGAGACAGAAACCAGCGATGGACTAAATAATCTTCACCCTAGAGACCTGCATTCAGTCTAGGATACACTTCTAGAAAGTTCTACAACATCTGAAAAAGTGCCAATAGCTTGAGTACAGGAGTAGAAAATATGAATCTGTGGAGAACGTTTCATTTTTTGAAAAACCATGAAAATAAACGAAGAGGCCATATTAAGCCCAGAAGAACCAAGACCTAGTGATTTATATCCCTTAGTGAGGCAATTCCTTCCAAAGCTTCCATAGTCTCCCAGTTTATCACCACAAACTGGGAAGCAATGTATCAAAATGTGAGCTTGTGGAGAAATATTTCAGATTTTGAATATAACAGAAGCTAAGTGATGTGACTTGCTTTGTAAAAAAAAAAAAAAAAAAAAAAACTGGCCCTCCGTGATCCATGCATGGTTGGATGTCTATTCATTTTTGTGAAAAATATTATATATTTATTAAACACAGGTATATGAGATAAAAATACCCAACACACAATAGATGCGAAACAAAGAAGAGAAAGGGAAAAATTATTGAAAATGGAAAAATTAATCTGTCTTCAAAAGTCTGTCCATTGAATGCCATTATCTATGAGACTTTAAAAAGAGGATGACAGGCAGGAGAGATCTTTTAGCAATTAAGAGCACTGGCTTCTCTTGCAGAGGACCAGGTTTCGAATCACAGCACCTGTATAACAGCTAACAACTGTCCATAAACGCAGATCCAGGGAATCTAACACCTTCTTCTGACCTTTGTGATCCTTGCACTACATGAGTTCACTAATATGCATGCAGATAATACATTAATATACATAAAACAAAAATAACAATAATAATAATAAAAGAGAATGAAGTGAGAGCAAACTTTGCTGGTTGTGTCTAAAGGTATTGATACTGAGAAAGCCTTACAAAGGTTTTATGTTTTACCAAATTTGTGAACCACAATTACATTAAGCAATTAGGTAATTACATTAAATAATTAAGTAACAAGTGCATTAAGTAATTTGGTATCTTTAGACCAAACATGTAGACCGTTGGTCTTAAACATGTAGTAAATCCCTGAAAAAATCAGCTAGCAAGTTGTGAAAAGTCTTGTTTCAGAGGGAAAAGCACCCAGAATCACAATCTCTTCTTGCTTGAATAAGCTGACAGAAGACCATCTATCAGGACTCTTGGGGTAAGGCTTCAACACAACTACTCCTTTTTCTTCTTTCCAGTTTCAGCGATCTTATGGCAACAAAAGAGGCAGCATTTTGTAATGATAAATATCACAGCTGTCACACAAGCCAGCAGGAACCCAATCACATCCAGAGAGTGGTACTGGAACCAGCTAAGGTCATGGAGAGCTGGGCGAAGGTGCTTGGCTCCTTTGTGGCGCATGACATACTCGATCCAGAAGACTGCTCTGTCCAGGGGCTTCACTGGCTGATCACGTTGAATTCTTGATAGCCTCATAGCATTTTCTTTATAGCTAAAGAGAAAATACACAGACACACACACACGCACATGTATTTACATATGTCAACATTAATGAAAAACTAATGCGCATGAGCTATTCTGTTAATGAAGGATTTTCGAAAAAGCGCTAGAGAAAATTCAAAATATCCCTGTACATTTGCCTAGTAAATGCTGAGTTTGAGAGTCTGTGTGGAGGTCACAGTTCAGACAGGGTCTCAAGTAGCACAGTCTGTTTTCTAACTTGCTGTGCAGCTGAGACTGTCCTTGAAATACCATGCATCTTACTTCACCTGCCAATTTGTGGGATTACCACTGTGTGTCACTACTCTAGCTTCATTCCCACATGATGTTTGTTTTCTAATCCAACGTTTTCTGCTTGAATAATATTTTCAAAAGTGATAAGAGCAGGACAATAGGGAGAGTTATATATTTTCCATCAGTGGGAAGGGTCACATGTGACTTGAGCCCAATAAGTGAAACAGAAATATAATTTGAGAAGGCTTCTCCTAAACTTTGAAAGGGCACCAGTGTTGTGATAGATTATGTACATCTGCACTGGTCCATTTCCTCTCTTCTACGTTCTATATTTTAATATCCAACTAGAAACTAGATTTATGTTCTGCAAACACCAGCTCAATTATGAATCTACTTTGCTCAAACTTACCACCAGACTTCTCATCCTGATAAAGAAAATCCAATCTATCCTAGGACTAGTGGTATGAATGTAAGAATCGGCAGCAGTCCCTGCCACTTTGCCTCTGCATAGTCTGTCTAGGGACATTTGTCTTCTGGATGTATGTTGAAGCTACCCATGGTGTCCCTTTGATACAATGATGCATTTCACATTGTCATACCTGGCATCATCCATGCAATAGTATAATGCTTGATTTAATGTCATTATTAGGGCCTCGGTATCAATCAAAGCCATGTATCAGAGGTTCTTTTGTTGACAACATTTTCTTAGAAACTCAAAGTATTTCATGAATTCAGTGACATGTGACATTTATTTCAACATGGTGTCTTAAACTTATTGTAAGATTTTCATAAATGTAAAATTATTAGTCACATAAATGAATTTTATAATTTGAATACAGACATTGTATATTATCATGTATATTAATAAAATCTCTAAAAAATAATGCTAGTTATAGAATAAATTTTGGATTACACTTTATAATTTCAGATGTTTAAAACAAAATATTTTCTCTTATTCAAG